GAACTAGTGGCAAAAAGTTTTGTGCTTGTAAAGATCTTTGCATCTGAATGAGGGTTACAGTGACTTCGATAGGGTTGGAGTGGGTATGTTCATCTTAATCCTGTATCTATGGGCAACATATTAGGTGTCAGGAGACTTGGAACTTTGGCTGATCTCTTTTTAACTTAGGGTTATTTCTGAAAATACTGAACTACTATTTTGGCCTAAATACGACATGAAACAGATATTTATTTGTAATTTTCTCAAAGGTGTTAGACCGCACCCAGGCTATGCACTAGGATCTTAGCGAAAAGTTGAGAGGACAGTTTTCTTCCCAACCTGTTTCCATGATATCTGCAGCTAAATCCAGGAATTTTAAAAAAATACAGGGTGGGTTAGGCCAAGTTTAGCTTAGCAAGTCTTACTGAGAAAAGCATGCCAATCAGGACTAAGATGCCCAGTATTCTCATGCTGTGAGGCCTCAGACCAGATGATAACCTCTCCTTTACTTAGTTTCTTTACCTATAAAATGGGAGAAACTATATTTGCCTCACAGAGTTGTGAAAATAAAATGAGATGCACTATGTTAAATGTACTCTGGAAATGCTAACATGTTTTATGAATATAAGTTATTTTTGGCTAAAATGAAATATTAGACCAAAGCTTTGTTTGCTACATTCTTTTCACTTCTGCTGATTCCAGCTACTTAGGACAAATCTCTTGGCCCTGAAGTCAAATGTCAGAAAAGGTCCCCACAGTGCTCTGAGTTGCAAAACAAATCCTTCTGCAAGCAAAAGGATCCATTCTTCATTTTCCCCTCTCTACATGGAAAGCAACGATAACTACAATTGATAGGAGCATGAAGTTTCCACAGTTTAAAAATCTGCTTCCATGATTGTGAAGATGGTTGCACAACTTGGTGAATGAACTAAAATCCACTGGATTTCACACTTTAAATTAATGAAATGTACAATATGTGAACATAGTTAAGCAAAACTTTTTAAAAAATAAGTAAATAAGAATTAAAATCTGTTTTCAGGATGTTCCCTTATAAGTACCTCACAATGATCTTTCTGTATTGATGTATACTCACTTGATACACAAAGATATTATATTAATCTGAACTCTTCAGAGAGACAGAACCAATACTCTCAGAAAGATAAATATGTATTATCAATATATGTGTATGTATAGTATATATTGTTTTACACTGCATATAATATACACTGTCATAAATATATGTGATATATAACATATAGTATCATGCATACTACATAACATGAATAATGTATGTATAATTATATTTTATATATTTACATATTATATATAATATTTATATATTATTTCAATAAGTTATTTATTAACATTATATAATATAACATCTGTATTTATATATGCTTTATATTTTAGATAATAAAACATATATACATTATTATCAATAGATCTATACTACATATGATATATAAAATCTATATTATATAATGTGGATTGGATATATATTTTTGCCTCTTCTATTGTTTCTATTTATGGTTCTATATATGTAAAAATATAAATATATGTATATACACAGAAAGACAGAGATATTAAGGAATTGGCTGAAAATTTAAGGATCTGTAGTTGGCACAGATGGGAACTTAGGAGTCTTACTTAATTCCAAACACCTGAGATTTGGGAGAACTAGTGATACAAGTTCTAGTCTGAGTCCAAGTCTGAGTCAGTTTCCATGACAGTAAGGTGTAGAGAATGAACTTCTGTATTCCACCTTTCATGAATTCTCTTTTGTATAGCCTTTTGTTTTATTCAGATCTTCAATGGAATGGATGAGGCCCACCCACACTGGGGAGGACAATCTTCTTTACTTGTTCTACCAGTTCAAATGTTAAAATCCCAGAAACATCTTCACAGACACCCCCACAATAATGCTTAAACTGGTCATCTTGTTATTTATATATGAAATTAGCCATCACAGATGCCAAGGCTTAGAATCATGAAGCATGTAAGCACCACATCCAGGATCTGAGTGCAAATTTCCTTTTGTTCCCTTAAAAAAATTACTTTTATTCATTTTATAATTTAAATTTATAAGAGAATTTCAACTATGAATTACACATAAGTATTATACTATTTATCAAACTATAAAGTCTTCTAGGATCTAGAAGTATGTTTAACTAAAACTATCTCAGAAGATGCATTTTAAAAATACATCATAATGGAAAATTGACTGAATTTAATATATTATGTACAGGATAAATAGTAATATAATATTCCAGACATGAGTGCAAGTTTTGTATCACAGATTCCACTTTTTGTTACCCACACCATACTATCTCCCTGTGATCATAGTTTGCTAGTCAAAGGGGATCAGGTAAGAGTACAGTACAGTTAATGTATAGACCAGTCCTACTGTCTGCACAGCCTGCCAGTTACTGTTGTGACTCCTTTAAAGTGATGATAAACGGTGAACACGTACTAACTACTCTTAACAGACTCACCTATAAAACATAAAATCAAGTTTTAGTCAACCACAGGGTCTCCATAAAACTAGGCTGAATCTAGCATGTGTGATGCTGGGGTTAAGGGGTGTGATTAGTACATTATTCCACTGATTGGTTTGGCATAGTTCTGGCTAGGATTAATGGCATGGGTACTATATTTACCCTATGGCAGGTAACCTGTATACAATGTAGGAAACAAAGAGTTTCGACTCCCCACCTACCCACCTTGTTGCTTTGCTACAATCTTCTGCCACAAACTATTCTCTTCTGTCAAGCCACTCTGCCTTGGAGCCAGCCGATTATGAACTAAAACCTTCACAAGTGTAAGCAAAATAAACCTTTCCTCTTGTTATAGTTTGATAACTAGTGGTCAACTTAACGCCAGCTGGATTACATCAGCATGCATTGAGAGAAGATGCTCCACCTGAGGAGGGTTGCCAGGATAAATAGGTGGAGAAGAGAGGTTTGGAGAGGGATTGAGGCATTATGGAGGCATTGTTAGTTCTCCTACGAGTTGCTGTCTGAGCTGTTGGTTCTCCTGGAGAAGCTTTGGTCTTCACATCGAGCATTGCTTCCTGGCTCCGGAGGGGAAGACATGTGCTGCCTGGTCTCCAGGGTGAACTCCTCACGCTGCTTCCTGGCACGTTCCCGACTGTGCTTGTCGTCGGAGGAGCTCGGGGCCTCCGTGTCGCTGAGGACAGCTGTGGTTCCTTTCAGGACAGCCCCGCTCTTTGTTGTGAGTGTGACTTCTCAGCTCCAGTGTAGAACCCTCATCCCACTAGCACAGCTCCTTCATCCTGCTGGCATGGACTTTCTGGCTTCCAACACTGACCCTTGGGTCTTCTGGCACGAATCCGTAAAAGAGACTGGCGTGAGTCCTTGTGGGCCCTGGACTTCCAGTTGGACTCGTGGAGGCGTTGTCCTGAGCTCTGGGTTTTTTATCTGGACTCATGTGGGACATTGCCGTGGGGTTTAGGCTCTTGACTTAAACAATCTATGTCTTTGGTGTTGCGGATAGATTTCCTGCATTCTCCTGTGTTAACTTTCAGTGACCATTATAAAAATATTATAAACTCCATGTCCTGACCTGAGTTGTTCTCTGTGTAACAACCCCTGACTACAACAGAAATTGGTACCAGAGGAGTGGGGCCATTGCTGTTATGTTGCCTGGTCATGTGACTTGAGAGCCTTAGAAATTAATTTAAAAATATTTGAGAGACTGGCCAAAGAGACAGCCCCTGTGTGCTGTATACTTTTGAGACTCTGGTTGGAACCTGGAAGATCGGAGTACTGATGGAAACGCTGCCAATTAAGATGAAGCTTGGGAGGCTTCTGTTGAGAAAGACTACAATGTCTGCTGGAGTCCAGGTAGTATATTGTGCTTTAGATGAAAGTTGGTCTTCTTGTTTGTATTTAGAGATATTACCTGGGTGGCAGAAGAATTTCAGTGCAGTCTACTTTTGGGATGGTAGCATGGATGGTTATTTTAGAGAACTTTCGACCAGATATATTTTGAAATTTAGAGCAAAGGGCCAGTAGAGTAATTTAAAACACTTGGCCAAGAAGAAGGCTCCATTGGAACTGTGGGTTGTAAAGATGAAACAGAGAACATGGTTGTTTAGAAGAATAGGATAATGGAAAAATCAAGAGTACATTTGAATTGCAGGAGATTCTTATATTTGAGTCTTGCCATGCCATGTTAAAGTTAATGGGAAGCAAGGACTGTGATTGTAATTGTTCTTTTACTGTGATTTTAATGTTTTATATGTTTGTAACCCAGTTGATTTGTCAAAGTACTGTGTTTTAAAGTTGAATCTTGGTCACCCTTTTAAATGTTTTTGTTTTGATGCAGGAATTAAGTGTAAAAAACTGTGAATATATGTAATTGTTTTATTAATGTAACAAATCTGCCACTAAGGACTATAGTTAAGGTAATGCGTGTGGTTATTAAGTTGACCAGGGGTGGATTGTTATGGTTTGATAACTAGTGGTCAACTTAACTTAATTTTATATTAATTTTAATTAATATAAAAATATTATAAACTCCATGTCCTGACCTGAGTTGTTCTCTGTGTAACAACCCCTGACTACAACATTCCTTAACTTTGGGAGTTGGGTATTTTATTTAGCCACAATAGAAAAGTAACTAAAACCATGCCAATTCATGTCCCTTGGTCAAAACTTGTTATCAAACAGTGTCAGATCCATGGTAAACAGTTTATTAAAAAATCAAGGTGTGCTCTGATCATACATGGATACATAGCCATACATTCCATTCAGGAATCATCAGAGAAATACTTAGCATGTGTACTTAATGTTATTAAGAAGTGCCACTCCCAGGAGTAAGAAAGATCAAAGGGATGAAGCAGAGAAATATGTGGTTGTGTTATCAACTGTCAGCTGACAAAGTGTGATTGATTACTTGACTTCACAGAATAGTCTTCCAAGATGTCATACAAATTGCATCTCAGCAAAATTTATCTAGGGAAAGAACTGGGGAATACTTTATCTACAGATTTCATTACTTAATGATCAAAGTTTCACCCTAAGTTTCACCTTAATTTCAACAGGGAATCCTTGAGGTGGGAGACAAGAACTGTGCACCCGGTGAATGAGAGAAGACACTGTCAGATTGTGCCTGGGGTCAGTTGGAGCTCATCTAAAAGTGGAAGCTATAATTACAGGTGAAATAAGGACAAGTGAGGTTAAGAGGACCTAAAGTAATATTAAGAGTGTCTGATACTGATATAGGGGAAAGAAACTCCCATCCTGCTGGATGTCTGGTATGACTTTGTGTTCCCTAAAATCAAAGAATGAATTTTATGAATAACAGAGGTTAAAAGCAGAACATATATTTATAGGAAAGTTTCTGTCCTATAGAGAGACAGAAGTGGTCCCAAGTGGGTTGCCAAGGACCCTGCCTCTTCTAGGGATTTTTATAGAGCAAATCCATGAAACAAGTCAAGTCCAAGGGTGGGGAAAAATGGGAAATCGCAAGGCGGGCATGAGGTGGACAAAAGGTCAAGCAATACGATTATGAGTATAATTGCTCAGGTAAAATTGATTAAATTGGGATCAAATGGGGAAGCAAGTCAGGTAGCAAACAAGCATGAATATAGAACAGGGGCTTTTCCTATAGAGGGTTGGGTTAGTTACTCTTCCTGGCTTCCTCAAGGGGAGCCATACGTATTTAGAATCAGTCCTTGATGTTTCTCCTTAAGAAATATTTGGGTACATTCATTTCACCTTTTGTATTGAGGTTTAGCCCACAGCAGAGAGGTGAGTCTCCCCTGCAGTGCAAGATATCTGGTCTTCTGCACTGGCTCCTTCAACAGTCCAGCCCTATCGGACTGTCTATAATAATTTTATCTATCTTAGTTGCCTATAACAATACAAATAATACATGAGACTAGAAGCTCCTTGAGGGCAGGAACGTTATCTTATTCTTTCTAGAATACCTAATATGATTCTTGGCACGTAGTTATATCAATCAATAAATCTGTGAATGCCAGTTGAGTGGCATCCTTTCCTCTGTTTTACAAACACAGAAACCAAGGCACAGATGAGGTTACTTACTTTTCTAAATCCAACACAGTAAGTAGAGATATGGAAGCACAATATCAAGTCTTCTCACAGCCATGCTAAATATATTCAACTCTCAATTAGCCTCTCAGTAGATATTCCTAGGGAGAGTTAAATTCTGTCAGCTCTTTTCAGAATTCAGTTTATCCAAGTTAAAAAAAAAATCACTGGAAGGTAAATCAACAACCACTCACTGTTACAAATGATGTTTTCTAAAACAAAACTGTGCCAATCAAAGGGATTGATAATAAACATAATGAAATTCAGCTGAGTCCCTACAAACCAAGAAAGCCCTTGGCTGACTCTGTTTGTGTGACCTTAAACCAAGAAGGCTATGGGAATCTGTTCCTGTGGTGCTGACTTTGCACCTCTCTACTGCCCTTCAGATGCCCACTTAACCTCATTTCTCTCTCATTGTGGTTGCCAAAACAGAGAAGCTCCTCCTGGCCCCAGGAGCATTAATCAACTTTCAGCCTTCTCCAAGATCTGCTGGGGAGATGCAGCACCTACTTAATAAACTCAAACTGTCATTAAAGATGGACGATAAGTCTGCAAAATCTTGGAACATCCCTACTTTCCAGCTCTCCAAGTACAGAGAAGGAAACAGAGCAAGGACTCGGGAGAATGTCCTCCTGGGTGATCAGGAAAGTCAGCTGCCTTCTCCTAGTCTCCTCCTCCCTTTAGTTCTTCCTCAATGATACCACCATGTCTGCAGCACAGTGAGACTGTTCAGCTTTCCTTTATTCAGCACAACAATTTGGTGTGTGTTCTGTAGTGCTGACATATTCTTCTTGCAGAGAGTGGTGTGTGAACAGTGTTTTCCAAGTTGGAAGTTGCAGTATCATAAGTAGGAACAGACCTCCCAAAGCCCCAAATACTATTTCTGCCGGAGCTGGGAAGATCAGCAGGCTCCTGTGCGGACACCTACAGAATCCTCAGAAGCAGCCCTGAAGCACTTTGCTTACTCACTTCCCCACCCGCTTCACTGTAAAAGTTCAAGTAGGTGATGGTCTTCTGCTTTTATAACTGCCAGGCTAGTTATATCATTGGACTTTCATGCAAAATCAGCTTAAGATATTTGGAATCTGTAAGGTCTTTGAAATGTAAGTATTGAAACACCTGAGGGGAGCTGGAGATTTAGCTCAGAAATGTAAATGTCTGCCTGGAAAGCCCAAGGTCGGAGTTTGACCCCCAGTACTGGGGGGGGGGGGCGGGGAATGCCCAGGATACTAACTGCTCTCTATGCCCTCCCATCCCCAAAGCCCAAAGCCCTTCCACCAAGTAGCTGGTATTAATAACTACTATTTACATAGAGTTTTCAAAGGGCAGGGCATTTTGCAAAGCATTTTACAGATATTATTTCATTTTACCTTCACAGCGATGCTTTTTGATAGATTGTTTATTCTAAGCCAAGAGGCTGAATAATTTGTACAAAGTCATGCAGTTAGTGACTACAAGTGGCAAAGTTAAACTCGAATTCAGGTCTGCAAATCCTAAATCCATTTTCTCACCACCTCTACACTGCTACATTTGGGGCAATTTAAAAATAAATAAACATTTGCTGTACCAAAAGTATGCTAGGAACTTTCCTATTCACCTAGCAGCCACCTTGTTTCATAGGAGAGGAAACTGAAGTCTTAGCTTGTCAGAAATTGAGACCTGGGATATGAATACTGTTTGACTAAATATTAATCCTTCCTTCCTTCCTTCCTTCCTTCATTCTTTCCCTCTTTCTTCCCTTCCTTCCCTCCTTCCTTCTTCTCTGCTTTATCTTCCCTCAGTGTCTCTCTTTATTCTTTCGCAATTAGTCATGTATTGATTCAGCTAAGGTTAGAATCTTATCTTAGCAGTCTTAAGAAATAATTTATGCATTGTGCCTACCTCGGTATTTGGCACGCAGAAGGCAGATGAATCATGTTACTCTCTGCCTCACTTCACCCCCAAACTACCTAGATAAGTTTTTATCACAGCTTCCCTCCCTTCCCTGGAAATAGAAAAAGAACAGCTCTTTTCCAGCCCATGGTAGTGAGATATGTTGTCTCTTGAACTTGGCCCTGTTTTTCCCTGATGGTCTAGCCCACCCCTTTCAGGGACACTCACAAGAGCTAATGGTATTATGTCAGCACTGGGGCTGCTTTCAGGCACAGCTAATGAAGGGAAAACTTTGTAGGACCTCCATATGGGCTTTGTTTTCCCCTTCTTTCTTGTTTTTGCAAAGAAAGGCCCCTTCTGACCTTTTAAGCTCAAAGAAAACTTAACAAACACTTGCTGTGAACCACCTTGCTTTTTACCCCTGATCAAATAACCTCCCCAACTCTGGAGATTTGTGATTCAATCCCTGCAAAGGAGCAATGAGAGGAAGCAGGATATTGAGTCTCATTAAGTTTCTTTGCTGTGTCAGTCGTCTCTCCCAGAGGGGGCTGTAATACTCACTTCCTAATACTCAGCCCCTTTCACAAGTTGGCAGCTCCTTCCTCTCAACTTATATTCTTGGCTAAGAATGTATTCATAGGGATTTTTTAAAAGCCTCCCCAAATACCTGTTTATTGACTTTCTCAAAACATTTCTAGGGTAGCATAGGGTTGTACTGGTTCTGAAGTCAGCTTTCTTTTGCTAATGAGGCTCCAATTCAGTGCCTTTCCAAGCACCCTGTGTGGATGAGGGGTGGGGAGAGACACGACCCTAGCTCTGCCCCATTTCTTTTCCCTGAGCTGACATCATTCTCTGCTAATGAGTTTTGTCCCACTGTCTGGGCACAGCTTTGGTCCAGATGCCTCCCTTAGTGTCCTGCTCAGATCAGGCCTCATTGTTTGTCTGGATATTGGACGTGAGAATCTCAGGAGCTGTTTGTCCAATCCTAGGAGCATCTACAGCATTGCCATTCTCCTGGATCTGGTACTGTTCTGTAAAACTTTGTTAAAAGTGTAAAGTGATCTAGGTCTCCCAAGTTCTGAGATTTATCTGTTTCAATCACTTTTATAATGCAGTGTGTTGGACCCTGGTCTTGGTGTTTCTTATGGAATAACAAAATAATTTGTGTAATTTAGACACAATTGTGGTTGCTTTGCTTATTTAATTGTATAATAACCCTATAGATAAAGGCACTAATATTGTCAATATTTTAAAGATGAAGAAACTGAGACAGAATGGTTAAATCCCCCCCTTCCTTCTTAAATAGAAGGTAATAGAGTTAATACTGCAAACTCATACCTTGACAGTCTCCTTCTTTGGGATTAAGATGAGTGGTAGACCTGAGGCAGGAGATTAGGACATGACAAACTGGCCAAGGAAGTGGGTATGACATATTAATTAGAAAATTACAGAGCACATGTGCAGTACAGTTTCCAGTGCCCTGCAGGTGAAACCAATGAAAGAGTGCTATCTTCAGTTCTTACAAGAATTTGAGAATGTTTTTGATAGGACAGCCCAGACTCAGTCTCAGCCTGAGGAGTGGGAGATACAAAAAGACATCCACCACTGAGCTCAGAGCCATTGTATTCTCTCTTTCATGTTCTCCCTACACCCTGTGGAGTGTACTTCTTTTCCTATTTTTAATTGACCCATATTTGCTCTGCAGAGCATATTTCTTTTTTAACCTTTAATAAATGTAAAATCTTGCTACCTTTTGCATTTATTTTGTCCAAAAATTATTTTTTTAAGATAAGTAGAACCTAGAAATCATTTCTAGAAGAAGACCAGCACCCCCAAACCTATTAACCTGCCTAAGAGAAGGAATCTTCTGGTTTGTTTAATTAGAGAACTTCAGAACATCTGTGTAAAGTCCTGTCCACTCCTGTCTTAACATCCTCATTGGTCCTTACTTCCATCCCAGGGAGATTCTCTTCCCTGTCCTCCGTCACAAACATACCACTTTTTCTGCTCTCCGTATTCACTCATCTGCCACACTTTTCCTTAAATGCCTTCCCTTCTTTCTCCACCCCAACTAAAATATGACCTTGTTTTCTTTCCCAATTCATTCCTAATTCATCTATTCTAAGAAAATTTCATGGTCGTATCTAATCCTGCCCTTTTCCCAATTTAAATTTACTTCTGGGTCTCTGCAGGTGAGGCAAGACAGGTGGAAAACCAGTGAAGCTCCTAG